CGTCTTAGACGCATTTGCACAGAGGGTGGCACTTGGTCAAAGTGAAAGCCTGAACGAACAGAGGCCTAGAGCCAATAGTGTTCGCTCCCACTTTTCCTACACGTGAAAGGGGCATAAGAGAATGTACATGAAAAAGCCCCCGGATAATCCACATTGCACTTCAGTCTTTGTGTTTGAAATACAATGTACCGTTTTTGTATGTGTGGACTTTTTAATAGCCCAAGCAACAATTTGTGCTGTATTCCCAGAATACCACCTGGGAATAGAAAAAGTTGCCCCTGATACCCCATGCATTTTCTTAAACCTCCACTTAAGATGCAAGGACTTGGTTTGCACCAGACACTGTACTGGGGCCTTACGGTCCCTTATGTCATTTAACCCTCCCACAAGCCTAAGTGGTGGCTACTGACTGTCATTCCTGTTTCCCAGGAGAGAATAGAGCAGCTCACAAAGGGTAGGGGATAACCCAAGGTCTTCACACCAGCAAGATCAAAGTCAGCTGTCACTTTCACAGGTTCTACTTTTAACCAGGGTTCTCAACTGGGGGTAATTTGGCTACAGGGGTAATTTGGCTATAGGTGGGCGTTGCTACTAGACTATAGTGGCTAGAGGCCAGGATGCAGCTAAATAGCCTGCAATGCACCCCTGCCGGGAAGGACCATCCTAGCCCAAAATATCAGTCATGCAGAGGCTGAGAAACTCTGCTTCTCACCTAGTGCACAAGGCTGAGGACCACCTCCCAGAATTCCCCCTTGAGCTAGAGAGGAGGAGGGGTGAGTCCAGCTTGCTTCTGACTCAAAGGGTGAAATTATTCTTACGTAGGCTCTGAATTTACTTCTTCAGCCCTAGAAAAGGTAAAGTGTGTTTGAGAAATACCTTGAGAATTGATGTTTAAAGAAAGGAAAGGAAACTGATTTTTATTGAAGGTGTGTACACTGGTGCCGGATTAGACACCATTAAACTCGTTATACTATTTATCCTTCAATACAGCCCTTACGCTTAGAAGGTATCAACGTTTTCCCTGACCGCCCCCCCCCCCCACTTTAAAGTGGGGAAGAAATTGAAGCTCAAAAATGTTAACATACTCAAGGTCATGTGGCTCAGAGACGGAGCCTGAATTCTAACCCAGGCTTCAAAGATTGCAAGTCTTGACCTCACGTCCTTGATGCTTTGCTGATCTTTTCTTTTCTTTTTTCTTTTCTTTTTCCCCTTTTGATAAGAAATAATAAAAGCTATGCTGAAGGTAAAGTGGGAAGTGTCAAAAAGAGTGATAAATAATCCTCCTACTTTTTAAAATTAAAATCATTCATTCATTCACTCATTTATTTATTTTAGAGAGAGGGGAAGGAAGGGAGAAAGAGAGGGAGAGAAACATTGATGTGAGAGAGAAACATCAGTCAGTTCCCTCTCCTATGCTCCCCACCCAGGACCAAACCCACAGCCCAAGCCATGTGCCCTGACTAGGAATCAAACCTTTTGCTTTCTTTGCAGGACAATGCCCAGCCCACTGAGCCACACTAGTCAGGGCAATAAGACTCCTACTTTTGAATTAAAAGGATTGCTTTATATACCCCATAAAGTAACCACTAGATACCATAGAAATTCTGTATTGGTATATGAGAGCATAGGTGAATTGGTTATAATCATGCTTTTTTCTTTTTTTTTTACAGTGCTCTGGGCACATCTATTATCCATTATCTCATTTTTTAAAAAAGATTTTATTTGCTTTTAAAGAGAGGGGAAGGAAGGGAGAAAGCGAGGGAGGGAAACATGGATGTGAGAGAAACACATCGATCGGTTGCCCCTTGTACACGCCCCGACTGCGGACCGACTGGGCCACACGGATCAGGGCTCCACTATCTGGTCGGATGTTCACAGCAGTCCTCTACGGGGGGGGAGGGGCAGCAAATGTCCTCATTTTACACCCGAAGAACTGGGCCCCAGAGTGGGGCTGGCTTGGTGAGAGGCCTTCGGCTGTGGGAGCCCGGGGCCTTCTGTGCCCACGCTGAGGGCACGGTGCCTGCAATGGTCCTGCTGGGCTCGCGACACTGACCTCCTTTTCTCACAAGCCTGGGTGAGCTCAAGGGAACTCTGACACAGTAAGGGTTAAGCCACATAAATTCTTTTACGAGCAGTAACCATTTACTGGGCCCTGTAAAAAAGGGCCCCTCACTATACTGACTGCTTTCCCTGGGAAGACGGGTGCCAGCCTCCTGGGGGGCGGGCAGAGGCGACCTTGTAGTCCTCAAGGCTGCTCTGTGGGGTGAGTAGCTCTGGATGCCTCCAGAAGGTCATGGCAAGAAATGGTGCCCGTCCTGAGGGAAGGGGCTTGGTTCACATTGTCCTGTGACCTTCACTGAATTCTTTTTTAACTCCCCGCTAAGCTCTCTCCATGCAGGACCTCATTAGAGTCTCACAGGACTTTGAGTGTGGTGACTGTTCCCATTTTACAGGTGGGGAAAGTGAACTTCGGAAAGTTTTTGGCTAAACAGACTTGGAAGTTTCTCAAGGTCATGTCCAGTAATAATCAGGGGAACTAGGATCTGAGCCCACATCTCCCCAACTCCAAAGCCAGGGTGCTTAGCCCTTATACCACCCTGCCTTCTGGGGGTTTATTTTGGGAAGTGGTGAACAGAAGCTCTGAGCTAACCAACTAGGTACCTCGGAATTGGCCAGGGCAGGTCTTGCTTCCAAGGAAATAGCCACTTAGAAATGGCCCTGCAGGCAAATCCTTGTGAAAGAGTTTCAGGGAAATCTTCCCTTCCCATCCCCCCGCAAGCCTGGAGGGCTTCATCCTCCCAGCAGAAGGGCTGGGCTCTGAGCTTCAGCCCTTTCAGGGTTAAACAGTAACCTTTTTACTGCTTGTGGTTGAGCAAATTTTGGTGAGGAACAAGCCCAGCCTTGAGCAAACAGGAGACCAGCCATGCCCCATCCCTTCCTGAGCCACCCCGCTGGGGACTGGGAGGTGTTCTTTTGCCTTGCAGTCCCTCATCTGAGTTCTTCTTACCTTTAGGATGATTGCTCTAAAAAGCCGGATGGGAAAAGGCCCAGTTATTGTGCAAAAGAAAGAAATCTTTGACTTGGGTTGGTTCCTCCTTCTCTGAGGGTGAGACTCAAAGAGGTTTCTGGAAGAGAACTTAAAAACCAATTTAGTCACCTTCTTTTTAGGTGTCCGTGGGAGGAGACTGAGGCCCATGGCTGTTTCTCATTTGGGTTGGGACTTTCCTCACAGTCACATCTGCGATAGAGCCATGTCCTATTTTGTGCCAAGCGCTTAAGGTATAGAAACTCACTTAATCTCCCATCAATGCCCACGGTAGCTACGATCATCGGAAGGTTGCGTGTGAGGAAATGAGAGTTCAGAGAGGTCGATGCCTTGTCGGAGTGAACACTAACCTTAGCTCGTGAGTGGTAGGGTTTGGATTCAACCCCCGGCCCTTCTGACTTTGAGACTCTTACACAGGGCACCACCACGTAGGACCCAGCTCTCCCGTCTTGCCGTGCCCTTGCCCCTTCACTGTCACATGGCCATCGTTCCCACTCTGTCTTTCCTTTTCCACCTCCAACTTAGGCTGGATTCAGGCCCAATTTTTGCCAAACAACCATGCTAGTGATGCTAATAATCATCATAAAAGTGTCTGTCTAGCCTAATTTAACTCTGTCCCGAGTACCTAGAACAGTGCCCAGGCTATTATGGGGCTGATAAATTTCTGTTGAATAAATGAATACATGAATGAATTTGTATTCCTTTTCCAGGCCCCATCCTCCCCTCTCTGACCCTCCACAGAACCAGAGGGGTAGTAGCTAAATCAGAGGAAGGAGTTTTGAGGGCTGGAGTAATCTGGGTGGGCACTTGGATCCTGGGGCTATTGGGGACCCTCAAGGATGCAAGTTTCTCCCAAAACAGGCAGAAAAGTTTCCATGATCTTCTGCTATCGAGATAGCTTTCTGTCTTTCCCCCAACATTTTAGGAAGTGCAAGTTACCTTTATAGATCCTTGGTAATGTTCAAGTGCCTGCTGGAAACAGGCTGTTTTTCTTTTGAATGATTGAGCATTCGTTCGAATGGGGCTGGAGTCTGAGAGGTAGAAGGTGCCTCCCTTGGGGGTGGGAACAGTATAAATAGATGCTGGAAAATCGAAGCAAGTATTTCTGAAGTATAACATTTTTACATTGTTTAAAAAATTTCAAACGAGCCCTTAGAAGAAAGGCTCTTCTCCTGGGTCCTTTACTGAGAAAATGAGCCGTCAAACTGAGAAAGTCACCTTTTGGTCACCTTCGAAGCTTGTGGTATTCTTCAGGTCTCTAAAAGGAGAGACAAAGCTAATCAGAATTTTTACCAGGAAGGAAGGGGAGGGGCAATATCTTGTCAGGGAAACCAACTGATTCCTGATATGATCAGGAAGCCAGATACTGGAGGAGCTCTAGGTACATCCTGGCTGAGGGCCCCCCCGCCCATACCAGCCCACCCATGGCAGACATCTCTGTGGAGGAAGCTTGCTGGGTGCCTGCGTGAGGGGCGGCCCCGGTGTGCTTGGGACTTAGAAACCTCTGATTTCAGGTTACTGCGCAGGTGCTCAGTACCAGCTTGGCTTTTCATTGATTGCAATTTCACTTTAAACAAAATCTCTTTGGCATTTTCACTTTTGAAAAAAAAAAAAAAAGAAAGAAAGAAAAAGAAAAGACTTGGCTGCTGGCCAGACTCGCCCTGTGAGCAGGTATTGCATTTTCCCTCCACTTCATTCCTGATCAGAGATTATTCATTTATGAATGGGTGGCTGTAAAAACTTGCCTCATGCATATGAAAATTGAACCTGGAAATCTTTAATTGCCAGTGAGTTTTGCTTTTACTGAAAGGGCTGTGGCAATATGCTTTGGAGGCAATGGTTGGAAGGACAAACTCTCTTTCTCTCTCTTCCTAAATTCACTCTATGACCTGCACTCTAAAATGACGTTTGTCCATGAGGCACTGACTGAACGGGCTGTTTGATCACCTTACAGATCATGATTCTGGAAGGAAGTGGTGTAATGAATCTCAACCCCAGCAACAACCTCCTCCACCAGCAGCCAGCCTGGACAGACAGCTACCCCATGTGCAATGGTAAGGGGGCCGCTGGGGTGCCACGCCCAGTGAGGATTTTTGCTTTGCTTTCATTCGGCTTTGTTTTCCAACTTAATGTAAGAACAGCATAGCAGGAGCTGTGAGGAACCGTGGGAATGGGGGATACTCTTCATGCCGGAGTTCTCATCAGGTCTCTGGGGCTCCCAGTTGATAGATTTCATTGTTTCCTCCCAACATTCAAGGTTCTGGGTGGGCAACCTGGCAGAGAGGGTTGTAGAAGAGATGCCCAAAGGGAAAGCGACCTATTGAATCTTTTAACAGTATTTGGCTTAGGGTTTCAAGATAGGATAGGAAGAAAAGGTGTGTGCATGCACATGTGTTGCACGGAAGCATGAGGAAGAGAGGGTTGTAGCAGCTTTTTCTTTCTATTTCATGTTCCAGTGACCTACCTTTGTAAGGGGAGAGGAGATTTGTTAGGAGACCATGTACCCCTCTTTAGTGCTTTAATCTAGAACCTGTCGATTAGAAGAGGGAGGGGTTGGTGGGGGGGCTTACAGAGGGTTTGGTGACCAGTCCCGTGGTTTACTGTAGAAGGGCAACCGAATCAAGTTGTTGCTGAATCAGGGCCCTGCACCTCACTGTGAAGTGTTTAGTTTAGGCAGACTGCTGTGCGTCAAAATGCGGTGGCTCTAAGAAGCTCTGGGTCTTCTCCCACGCCGCACCTGCTGCAGATCTCCTCACCAGAGATTCTGCCGCTCTGACTCCCCTAAAAAATGGAAATGGCCTGTTGGTGGGCAGAGTTTGAAGAGGAGGCAGACAAACATAGAAGGATTATGTTCTTCAATAAGTACCTGGTCCATGGGCAGCTCTGCCTCTTAACATGGGAGCTCAGCTGAACATGCACAGGTGACCTACCCTTACTTGATCACTTGTCCCACCAAACTGCTGCCTTTTCGGGGCAGTGACAGTTTCTGTTGCTGGCCTCAGATTGCCTGTGGGGACCTCAAAGGAGGATTCTAAATATGGCAGGAAGGGTCTTCAGACTGGAAAGTCTTTGGCAACCCCGGGCCCCTGGACCCTCGATTAAGGCAGTGTTCTTCCTGTTTGCTTTGGGGAAAGCCAGGGCAATTTATTCAGCAGAAAGTGGAATTTAGGTGTCACTTTTACTTCTTAATTTCCAGAGGCACCAAAGAAGGCCCACCTTCTGGTCATGACTGATGTGGTGGGGGAAGTCAGTTTAATGAAAGAGAAAAGCTGAACTCATAGGAATTTCAGTGTTTCTCCTGAAATTTCAGGCATCTGATGAGCCCACTGGCTGATGGAGAAAATTTCCCAGCTGGCTTCACATAAAATTCTCTGGTTCTTCCAAGTTATAACAGGATGCCCGATCAAGAACTATCCTCTAATCTGGATCCTGTGAAGTTGAGAGAACAAATTCTTCTAGGCCGGTTGTTGGGTTATTGAGAGTTATTACCTCCTGTTTTCACTCCCTGAGCTGCACTTAGGAACTCTGAGCTGTCATAGCAACTCAATTATTTTAGAAAAAGAGAACAAAGCTTCATGGAACCACAAAAAAATGTAGCCCATCCTTCAACAGCTGTACTTGCAAGTCCCCCCAAATTGAAAGCAAATGGAAATATCCAGTCTAAGCTCTCTGTGTTTATATATTTGGAAATATTTCTATGTAATTAAATTTTTGGACTATATTTTACCAATCCTTGTCCCCTTCCCTCTTACCACTGGCTTTGCCTTCAGGGCCCAAGCTGAGAGTTCTGGGCTGCTTTTGTCTGGCCAAGGGTTATGAGGAGTAAAGTATAATACACACAATGAGTGGCAGCCACCTTTATGCCTAAATCATCTTGACCTCCTGGTCAAGTGCTTCTGAGGTCTGAAAGCAACGAATGGATTCTGAAGGAGTGAGCAAAAGTGGGATTGGGTTGGAAACTTTTCCCCTTCAGCCTCTCCTCTGGAGGCATTGAGAGCTAGGCCATAGGTATTATGGGAATCCAATCTTTAGGAGTTCTTTAGTTTCTTGCAACTCAAATTGTATCCACAGATGATCTTCATCACCTTATCATCGTCATCATCATCAAGTAGAAGCTTGCTAGGAATGCAGAAACTCAGGTCTTACCCCAGATCTGTGGAATCAGAATCTGCATTTGAACAACATTCCCTGGTGATTCATAATTACGTTAGAGTTTGAGGAGCACTGATCTATCGTGACCTTGAGGCAAAAGTTAGGGATGGTTTTCTTGTGCTACAATACACATTCCTCTACTGGCCCATCATTGAGTTTGTGGGAGTATCTGTGTGTCATGTTCAGTTGGATTTCCCCTGCTGCAGTGTGGTGGGCTGCAATAGTTGCCCCTGCTCCTCCCCTTTCTAGAAAACAGCTATTCCCCTTAGACCTCTGTTTACAAGGGGACTGACTCTAAGACCTCTCGGCCCTGTTACATGCTCCCAAGGCTTGTTGTCTCTTCTCCATTTTTCAGGACTTGGGGCTGACTTTGTGATGTTCTCTTAAGCGAGCATGAAATGATAACCATACATAGATAGTTAGCCCATATTAAGCTTAGCGATTTTTATTGGCTTGACTGAACTTCTCTTCTTCACTGGTATTTGAATTAACCGTCCTGCAAATGCACCTCGTGATGCTTCTAGGTTCCCACATTATTTCTTCTTCAGCAATGAATTCCACTCAAGAAATTTATAGAGAGCACGTAAGTTGGCAAAGTTTCTGAGGTAGTTTTTATAGGAGGTACAAAGATGGGTGAGGCAGGGTCCCTGACCTTGAGCATATAATTTACAGAGGAGAATAAGATAGTATTTAGATACTCCTAAAGATAAACTGAACATGAGAAAAGCCATCAGGAGAAGTACCCAACACGTCTCCTGGAGATTCAGAGAACAGCAGCTCTTTAGTAAGTTGGGAATCCATGATGACTTTGTAGGGTGGTCAGAGTTTGAAAGCTGTGTAGGAATTCCACAGGGAGTGACCGGTAGAGTATAAACTAGGTTGAAAGAACAATAGAAAAAAGCCAAAAGTCATAGGTTACTTGAATAGCTAGTTAAGAACCTTGGTGGGTGGCTTGGCAATGTTGTACCTAATTGCAGTGGTTGAAGAGATGTGAGTGAAGGTAACTGAGTAAGGAAATGACATTGCAGTAGCTGCAATAACCAGTGAGGGGCGGGGAGGAGCAGCACAGTTGGCGAATGAGAAACCTGGACCACTTTGGGGAGAAGCAAAGGCATCCGAGAGAAAAGGGCCGTGCATTTAGGCCTCACTTTTGGCTAAAAATGGTCTGAGTTTGAGGGAGGGGGGGAATGTGTGTGTGTATGTGTGTGTAAGAGAGAGAAAAAAGATGGGAGAGAGAATGCGGAATAAGAGAGGTATGCAGGTATGAATAATAGCTAATAAGTTGCTGAAACTGAAGTGACGCTTCGGCTTTCATGATACTTTGGGGGTGGTGGGGAATGAGCTCATACCCTCAGAGTGTTTTAGGTCTCATGTCCTCATCCAGCTCCCAGGGGTGTTTTACACTAAGGAGGGTATCAAGGTGCACAGAGGCTAAAAGGTCGGCCCCCACCACAGCGGGGAAAAGAACCACATTTCCAAGAACCTCCCCTCTGGAGCGAGTCTCACACTCCAACCCCACCGGTACACAGGGACCATGGGCGCGCTCCTCACGCCATCCGGCACCAGAGGCACAGCCCCTGTCTGGCGTTATCCGGCGGACAACCGTGGAGCGCTCTCAGAACCCCCCTCCTCTTTTGCAGTTTCCAGTGGGTTTTTTGGAGGCCAGTGGCATGAAATCCATCCTCAGTATTGGACCAAGTACCAGGTGTGGGAGTGGCTCCAGCACCTCCTGGACACCAACCAGCTGGACGCCAGCTGCATCCCTTTCCAGGAGTTTGATGTCAACGGCGAGCACCTGTGCAACATGACTTTGCAGGAGTTCATCCGGGCGGCGGGGACAGCGGGGCAGCTCCTTTACAGCAACTTGCAGCATCTCAAGTGGAACGGTGACTATCTTTCTCCCCATCTCTCTAGGAGTCAGCTGAGAAGAGCAGAAACCCACTCAGCCAGCAGGGTTTCTAGTCAGGGACACCAAAGGCTGGTCTCACCTCCTGTGTCCAGGACAGGGAAGTAGGAGGGAGGTGAGGGAACAGGCACGAAGCCTAGGCTACGAGGTGCGTCTAATCCCATACAAACCCAGCATAATTTTGTCCTCTCCTGATGGCTAATTTTCCAGGAGGTGTGCTATCAGGGTATTCACAGAATACTTGCTGCTCTCAGAAAACCTTTTCTTCTTTACCTTGCAAACAGGGTTTGATAGTTTCATTCCTAATTACTTGCTTGTAAAGATCATCATGGCTACTTTTTTTTTCTTTTAACTTCTAGACCGTAGTTCTTAAGATGGAACCTAAGGGTGGTAAGAAGGTATGCAAAATTAGATCTATGTTTGTGTTTTGGGAAGGGAAGGGGAGAAGGCTTACATTATTTCAGCGGAGTCTTAAAAGTTCTGTTAACTATCAACAACAACAAAAAAAGCAGTTAGAGCTAATGATCTGGACATAGGTAGGATATTTCTGTGGTGATTTCTGGAGCTGCTGCTTCCCTTGGAGCCCCAAATGTCTGTCTTTTGAGGTCTCAGCTGGCACCCAGACAGGCACCATTTAAACACTGTGCCTTGGTGATAGTTTGTACACACGCACACATGTTCTGTACTGGCTTGTAAGACATGGTGGGGCAGACAGCTCGCCTTGCAAAATGTCTTTGACACTGGCTTAAAGTTGCCCTGATAATGGCTATATAAAACAAGCTCCTCTGATAACGATGGCTGTTTTGGAAAGCAGCGATATATTAGTAGAGTGAGCTGGCCCATCCACATCAGAAGGAGCAAGTCTGTCTTAGCAGAACTTGTGTGTAGGCAGGTAGCTGGGGCTTTGAAAGTGTGAGTTCTGGGCCTGTGAACTATATTCAGACACTGGCAGCTGCCGTCACTGCCGAGGAGGACCCGGAGTCTGGCCGCAGGGCTGGCTGCTGTGGTAGCCATTTGGGATGACCTCATTCAGCTCCCGGGCACTTTCTTCTTCCCACCCACATCACAGAGGCGGTTGCACATTTTTCTCTTACTAGAACCAAACCAAACAAGGCTCTATAAATAACCCCTAGGAATCTTCAGAAAGAGCAGACTTATACTTGAGGAATTAAAAATATTTACCTCCCCACCTCCAATTAAATCCAGTCCTTTCAACCTTTGTCCTGAAGCCTAATGCAGGGAGTCCTGGGAGATGATGTGGCTGTCTTTTACCTTCCATCTTTGACCTCCCAGGACTTGCTGGCCCCACTGGGTGCTGCTGGTGCCTCTGTAAGTGCCTCATGACCAGATTCCTCACTTTTGATTTGTTGTTTGCCTTTTTGGAGACATTCTATTAACTTGCATATATTAAGTGTTTATGTATACTAGGCATGCTAAGTGAATTGATTCATTTAATGACCTTATGAGAAAATATTGTACCCATTTTACAGATGGGACAACTGAAGGTGAGAGAGTTTAAAGACATGACCCCTGCTCCTGAGATATTTATAATCTGACTGGAGAGAAAAAAAACACATGAGATTTCTTCATATGTATACATTCTTTTATATATGATACATTATAGAGAGGAGTTGCAAGGCATAACGAAGGGAAGAATCACTGCATTTACACAGACATATCTCATAGATTGGCTCTAATCAAAATGGATTTGATTAAATTTAATATTAAAGATGAACAGAGCCCGTTAAAATGGATTTTCTTGTATTTTCATTTACATTTCGTATCATATCTTAGTATGGGAAAGCATGAGAGATGCCATCTAATAAAGACTTTATCTAGTTTAAGCCCCTAAATTTATAGAAGAGGAAACCAAGACCCAGGAAACAGAAGTGCCTTACAGTTATTGGTGGGAAACTGGCTTTCTGACCTCTGAAGTTCCATTTCCACCATACTGAATGCCTACCTATACAAAGCCAAGTAATTCCATCTGATGTGGGTGCCTGAGCTACTGATCTCCTGGGCCAGGAAGGTCAGGCTTGAGTTTGTAGACTGTACCACTGCAAAGAGTGGTGATCAGGCACTGGGAATGGCAGAAGCTCTTCCAAGAAGCCAGGTCTGCCCTTGTTTAAGTTTTGGCTCCATGTGGGCCCACTCTGACTCTCCCAATCTGTCCTTCACAGTCCCATGCAGTAGTGACCTGTTCCAGTCCACACCCAATGTCATTGTCAAGACCGAACAAACGGGTAAGTAGTAGCAGACGGAGAGAGCCAACTTGGTAGGCAAATACCCTGGCAAGGACAAGTGGGAGGGAGTGTGGGAGCAGGACGGAGCCAGTATTTTGGCAGGAAATCCAGAAACGCCTCTTCTCTGGCTGCCTCCAGTGGGCCACCGTCCATGAGCCTCATCCCTTGTGCTTGGGACCAGTGTCTGCTAACTCTTTCTAATTTCTAGACTGATGGGGAGACTAATTCTGCACACATTTCTCTGCTTCCCACCCCTGGTCAAGGCATCATCCAGGCTCCAGTGCAGGAGCTGGAACGATGCAGAGTCCCAGTGGGCCTAGCAAGAGGGGAGAAGGGGAAGGGTCGATATCTCTCCCTCTCCTCCCCTGGTAGGAGTGTTACACAAAAAAAAGAGGAAGATGCAGATTTGCTGCTCTACACACTGTGGTTTCTCGGGGGCTCTTGGAGGCTCTGTAGGAATGTTAACCCAACTCCTGCCTTATGTGCACTCTTAGAAGAAAGACTGCCCTGGATCCTGAGTAGGGTTTGTTGGAGACTTGCAGGGCACACTAACTGCCTCCAATCAGACCTCCTTGCATGTTAGCCTTTGGCCTCTGGCCTCTCAGTCTAAGGAGAGCTGTGCAAGATCCCCAAAGTCCACTGGCCATGATAAAACTGTGCAGCGGCCACTGCCCGGTGGTCACTTTCCAGGTCCTCATCAGTGAGACTGCAAGCCATGGGGGCCAACACTGTTTTCCACAGGCCTGCCTGAGGGTTGCATGCCAGTCACTAAGGGCCGAATATCACCTGGGGGTGATTTGTCAGTCACTCAGATCCCATCGGCCTCATGCAGTTATTCGCTCTTAAGGGGGCTAGCCCACCATTATTAAAGAAAAAGAATAATAGTTGCTAGGCATGTTAATTAGCTTTCCCTAGCCCTGCCTTTCTCCCACAGACCAGGGGTTGGGTTATCTGGATGGTCTGTGCTTTATGGTTCTGACTGCCCTAGAGGCAGACAAAGGACTCCACAGAGAGCTGGTGTGCCCTATCCCCCCATGGCCAGAGAGATAGCCCCCCCATGGCCAGGATGGTACGAAGAGGTCCCCAATAACTTGATAATTTCTTCTTGACCATCCAGACATTCTTGTGTTGCCAGTTCAGAAAAGCAAAGCTGAAGGGTGGAGAAGGTCCACCCAGGGAGGAGAGGAGAAGAGACTCACAGAGGGGCCAACACCCCCAAACCTTTTGGTTCAGTTTGTTTTCAGAGACAACAACAGGTGTATGATGTGACCCAACAAGGAGAGAGGGTGTAACCCCAAGAGATTGTGGGCTTGGGGTGCCCAAACACGTAGCTATTAGTTAAAATACCAGCTAAATCCCTGTGTCGTAAACAAGAGGACTTAGCCAGTGACTCAGGTTTTATACCTTTTATGTTGTAAAAACAAAATGAAACTCGGCCAGTGGCTTACCACCCGGCCCAGAAATTCAGAAGCTGGGCAGGAGGGGAGCTGAGGGCAGCATTGATCTGTGAAGAGAAGAAAGCAGGAAGTTCCTGGTGGGGACAGCTAAGAGCTCCTTGCCAGATCTTGCAGCTCTTGGCCAGCCAGGAAAGAAAATGCTTCTGTCCGAGACCAGCCCACATGTGGGCGTTGCGTAGGAGCTGGGCTTCATTTGGGGTAGGTGGAGGGGAGTTGCCTTGGAATCTGAGGTCTGAAGAGTCAATCAGAGTGAGATGTGCTTGTCGAGAGAGAGAGAGAACGAGAGAGAGAATGAGAGCGAGAGAAAGAGAGAGAGATGATTGCAAGATGAGGCAATGGGGCCCTACTCTTAAAAGCTGTTTGTTGCATTTGTGTTTTGAGAATCTCATGTTGCCCTTCGAGCTAATCAGAGAAATCCTGTAGAGAGGGGGCCTGTCACCCAGCTTGAGGATCTCACTGGATTGCAGCAATGAAGTCCCTGTGATAGAACTGACTTGACTTTTTCTGACAGAAACATTATTAACTCCCCTGGGAACATATCACTAGAAAAAGATGCTGATTAATCATGAATTTCCCTCTACCAATTTCTTTTTCTAGTGTAAACATATTCTGGTCATTACATAGTAGAATGCAAAACAATGCCAGGCTCCTGAAACTAGCCCCTGCCATGTGCAGACAGAGAAAACTCCCAGGAAAACCAAGCATTGGTCCGGAATAGGATCCCACTGTCACAACGGTCCCCCAACTGCCAACAGGTGTAGAACACACGGATGGAACTATAACAAGTCCATTTCCCCAGGACACTGGAAGAAACAATGGGTAACACTGTTATAAAGTAACATGTGGCTGAAGCCCAACTGTATCCCTTCTCTCTGGAACCGCCCCCCCCCCCAATATCTCATGACTCTCTGAGGAATAGTGAGTTAGAAAAAGCAAACTCTCCCCCAGGGAATGATGATTGCTGACCATTCCCATTTTCTGTCCTTTGTAGACCCTTCCATCATGAACACTTGGAAAGAAGAAAACTATTTATATGACACCAACTATGGTAGCACAGTAGGTAACTAACTCCCCAGCACTTAATGCCCTTCTACAATCTTTGTTATTTTAACAGCCAAAAAGTTCTGTTGTCAGGGGGTGGCTCTCAATATCCTTTATTTTTTGTCACTACAGATTTATTGGACAGCAAAACTTTCTGCCGGACCCAGATCTCCATGACAACCACCAATCACCTTCCTGTAGGTAAGTTGTCCTGACATCAGAGGTCAAGTGTGCCTCATGCAAGTGCTTATTGAGCATTAATGAGAATTACTGACATCCATGTTTACACTTGGCTGGAGTCTTTCTCATAAAAAGGAGTTACTATTTATGAAAGATCTGCTTTTGAGCCAATATTTGTACATTGAAAATTACCAGCAAGGGTGCCTCTAACAAAAGTGTTTGTCTCCTATGAAACTAAGACACTCTCTTTTTGTGATAACAAGAACTCTCTTTTCGACAAAAACTTGCTCTTGGGAAATTATCTTATAAAATTATTCATACTTGAGTATACTTCTGGGGGAAGACAGTTATATTTAAGTTTTGACAAATGTTGGACTTAGAGAAAGAACATCTAACAGTGACAATTAGAGGTCGATGAACCTGTGGCGCCGGTCTTTGGGTAGAGGGGTAGTGATTAGAAATTCTCAGAACCCTGGAAATCACACCAGTTGGTCAATTTTTGAAGTCTTACCCTCATGGCTCATCAGGACTCTTCAATCAGTCAGACAACCTGCACTTTTTAAATTATGTTCCCATTAGTCATGTTTGGTTAATATTGGATCCTTCTGGGGGCTAGCCATGACTCGGTCAAGGTTACGTTGAATGGGATGGTTGGTCTGCCGGGAGTCTGGGAGAGGGGCTTTCAGATTACATTCCCCCTTCCTTTTACAAACAGGAACATTGGCATGTACTGTTTAGGAATGAGTGCACTTGGGGGAGATGAATAGAGGGCTTCATGTTGTCCCTTGATCTGGGTGTAAACTTATGGATCTGTTTGGGTCTATGAAATGGAACTTAGACTTGCCACAAGTGAATTGCTCTTTTCCTGGAATTGAATTTGGGACTCTAGAACTGGGATTTAAATGAATATTTGAAAAAGAAAACACTGAATCAAACAACAACTCCTCCTCCCCCCCCCCCCCCCTTTTTTTTTTTTTTTTTTTTTTGCCTTTGTTGAGTATGTTTTTGAGAACTGAAATAATGAAAGCTTTTGGTTTGAGGTTTTGTTTGGGTCAAGTCCCTTGAATGAGACAGGGCTTGGAGCCAGTGTAAATGCTTCTGGAATTGAAGTGAAGATCTGAGGCCCAGTCATTTCTTTACTTCCCCCTCCTCTCTGGGACCCACACTGTGTGTTGCTCTAAGTATTTGCTGAAATTAAGAAACAGATCCATCATCACTGGAAAGGCTCTGCAGTGAATTTGCCCTTCTGGTGGAACAGAGCCAATAGAGATGACATTTCTGTGGCAAGCGTTGTCCCCCAATCAAGGGAAGGGTTTCAGAGCTGAGGAAACCACCCCTCACCCTCTGACTTCCTCTCACACTTCCTAAGGTGTCACCTCCCACATCCTTCTGGTTGGGTCTTTGGCTTATGGCAAAAGATTCCAGCTAAATGTAAACTTGAACCAACCACTTCCTGAGCCTCGGGGTTGTTAGGTCTTAAGGCACCTAGGAAACCTAAAAGCTGTCATCACAGCTCTACTGCCTCACAGCCTGGCCATGCTTCTGTCTTCTGTGTCTGACTTCTAGAGCCTCATCATGCTGAGGGGCCTAAGAAGCTAGTTCCTGCTTCCATAGTTGCATGAACAGAAAGCTCACAACCTCCTAAGCCCACCTCTTCTATCTTTGAAAAGCCCTTCTAAAAATGGGCTTTACAAATCTGCTCTGCATCATCTCCCTTGATCCTTGATTCCCCCCTCCCTCATTCCTATCCTGTGACTGTAACACAGGCTGGAACATGACATAATCAATTCAGGTCCTCTAGTGGAATTATTCTTTCAAGAATCAATTGAGTGCAAATTCTTTGGAATAACAGCCCCCCAGTAGTGTATTTAATTACAGCCCTGGATGGGGCAATTACTTTCAGTATAATTTAGCATCTATTGGTTGAGACCAGACACCCCCAACCCCCATTTGTCATTTGTCTGAGTCTTTACCTTTCAAGCTCCCATTACAATATCTTTCTATGTCTTAATGCAAGTTACAAGTTGAGTGGAGGCGGGGCCCAATGTAAACTGATGCCCTCTGTGATAAACGCAGGTGGGGAAGCGGGCTTTGTTTTGATTTCTCTGCCATCTGCCCATTTCATAAAATGGCCGCCAGTGTTCTTGATCTGCCCGATAGTCCCGAAGCCAATCACGCCAACTCAGGCTTGATGTGTTTATTCACTGACTTGCTGAGCCTAAAGCTAGGGCGGTGCAGTCTATTATAACACTGAAATTTGTATATCCCGTAAAGAAATGGCTCACAGCTGAATCATATGCAAATGCTTCTAATCTTTGCTTCTTGCGAAGCAGCTTAGCTGAAGTCATGATCTGGCACTTGCATCACAAACCTGTGGCTTCGTGCTGCCCCTACCCCGCCGGGACCTTGGCCTGAGGTGCCTGGGAGCCGAGCAAGAGAAAGCCACGCCGGACCACTTCCCCAGAGCGAGCCATTCTTTTATAAGCATGAATCACTTAACCACATGGCTGCCTTCAAAGGCTTTGACTTTTATTTGGCGATGAGAGGAAAACATCGCGGGGGTGGCCATCATGCGAAAGGGAGGTTTCAGATCAAATCATTTTGGGCTAAGGCAGGTCAGTGGCTCCACAGCTTGCCCTCACACATTGGGGACAAGACAAGGAGGCTGGAGGAAATTCATTTCCTTTCGCCTTTGGCTGCATATTCCTTCACATGACAATGGAAACATTTTTATTTGGGGATTTTTTTTTTTTTAATTGGTCTTTCCCAAATAAGATGGAGATGTAGCCTAGGTAAATGGCTAATATCTCAAAGAGAAAATTCAAGGCCTCTGTGGGAGTTTTTAATCTGGGGCCCATGGACTCCTAAGTGAGCCACAAACCCCTGAAATTGTTTACAGATTTCCACAAGTGTACTGTATGTACCGTTTTCTGAGAAGAAGGTCTAGGGTCTCTGTTTTACTCACAAAGTTACCTTAATCCCAAAGTAATTGATTCTACATCAGCTTGGAACCCATGTGCAGCGATTAGGGCCAATAAACTGAGAGACAATGTTTTGGTTTTTTTTTTTTTTTTTTTTTTTCCCTGAATTCAATCCTGGCTTTGAAATAATGGCCCTGCATCGCTCCTGGCTGCCATTTGAAGATGAGCTTTGCTTGTGGCCTGCTGGGTAAATGCCACTCTTTGTCTGAAGAACAACGTGGCCCTGTCAGAGTGATGTATTACTTGGAAACAGGGACAGTGCCAAACCTGTCGCAATATTGTCACATCCTGATAGAATGTTGCAACCTCACCCTGAAACCTACAGGGAGGGAGAGTGAAGTCTCCTCCATTTCCTCTGGATTTCTCCTTCCAGATTTCAGAGAAATCCAACTCAGGTGCAGGGTTCTTGCTGACAAATCCCGGGGGGAAGTTCTTAACCAGAATAAGAGTTTTGTTTTGTTTTTTTCCCCCTGCCAGATCTTATGAAAGCCCTCTCCCCCATCTTGCAGCAGTTTTCAGAGAACTGCGGGGAGTGCTGAGTCATGACAAGCTGGGTGATCCGATAAGCAAATATGCCCATGAATACTGGGAAATACAAAACCATCACATTGGAATTACTTTTTGCCACCAACTAGAGCATTATGGAACTGAACTTGATTCTTGGCAGGGAAGACTTTCATAAAATCTGTTATGTGCCAGCAGCTTAAGAAATGGCATAGAATAGTGGTTATGGGTGAAGCCTCTGGCTTGAAACAGACTGTGGTCACATCTTGGCTCTCCTGTCAGGCTGCGTGACCTCAGATAAGTCATTTGACCTCTCTATGTCTCAGCTCCTCCATAGCTGTAAACTTTGGATCATAACAGTACCTGCCTCGTAGGGTTACTGTGTGAAATAAATAAAGTGATTCATGTAAAATGTCTAGGTCCATGCCTAGTACATAGTCCTCAATAAACAGGAGCTGCTCTTCTTAACCATTTAAATTAGGAACTAATTGTTATTCAAACTTTTTAGAATAATGGACCGCCCTTGACAGTTGAATGAATGTGATGGACGCTCCCTTTGCATGTAATTTCAGTCAACCTGAAATGCCTTTGAAGGCCACGTCTGGGCTAGTGAACCCCAGCACAGGAAGCCCTGATGCAACACACCAGAAGAGATGCGTTTTACTGGCCCGGTTTATTAACAAAACTGGCTTGTGTTTAGGAACTGCTCTGTGTTCATATTGGTATATTTTTGATTGTGTGATTTTTTGTTGTTGTTGTTGAGAGCTGCCTTGGTCCTCCCGATACCTGAAACGCCCCCCTTCCCCACCCCCCACACACACTGCTCGATCATTCCGTTTTCTTTTCAAGAAGTTTTATTTCACAGATCTGCCTCTGTCATCTCCTCTTTGGTGACAGTCACGAGGGTTACCATAACAAGTCATTTGTTAAACTAACCTGTTTCCATAGTCCCTGGTGGCCCTCTGTACTAAGCACAGGCCAGTCAATGGCCTCTTTGTCAAGCTGATTAAAATATAACCTTGCATGCCAAAAAAAGGCACTCCTTTGGCTTGAAAGTCATCTTTCTTTGTTATAAATGTTTACATTTTTGTATTATGAAAAATAAACCCTTTCAATGACCTAAATCCTTCAATGGCTTTCCATGTCTCTTAGAATAAAAGCTAAAATCCTAAAATCCCACAAAGCCTTCATGGTCTGAATCTTAGCTCCTACCCCTTGTACAGCACCCCCCACCACCCGGCCCCAAAAGGCACACCGGCTTCCTCCTGCTCTGTGGGCATATCAAACACACACTGACCTCATGGTCTTTGCACTTACTATTCTCATTCTTGGGAGACTCTTGCACAAGCTCGCTGCATGGCTGTCTCCCTCACACCCTTCTGGTCCCCTTCTCATAGAGATCCTCTGTGACCACTACCTTATATTAAATGGCAAATTAGTCCCATTTCCATACTTCTTACCGTGCAATATTTTTCTCCATAGCACTCTCTGTTTCGTATTGGTCACTACCACGTACTGGAAATGTGCCAATCCTGTAGTAGGCGCTCAATAAATATTGGTTAAAAGAGCAGATGAAGAATGAAAATGATAATGGAAGGAAATGGGTAAATTAAACAGCCTTCATTTTACTCTTTAGCAGAATCACCTGACACGAAGAAGGAGCAAGACCACCCTGCCAAGCCCCACACCAAAAAGCACAGTAAGTTGGCTGGCTTTCCGATGGCACAGAGCCCGTCCCTTCAAGTTGCGTGTCCCTGGAGGCCACTAGTTTTAGACAGATATTGCTTCTGCCCACTGCCTCCGTTTCTTCATCTCAGACTGGGGCAGGTGAGAGAAAAAAGGCAACAGTTGCTGGCAGAGTAACCCCTCTGGCTGTTTCTCCCAGTGGAACCTCAGTGAGTGTCCTTCCCTCAGTCTGTCTATTTGTTCTAAAACTGGGACACCCAGTGAATAAGAGCTTCTTGTAGGCATGGGGTTAGCGGTTACCCTTTCTCCAGAAAAGAGGGTGGAACAAAGAGAAAGATAGGAAGAAACGGCTGAGCTGTATTGTTCTTCTGCTGAATGTTGGCTTCCTACTTCTGTGGAATTACTGTCCCAAGAAATGACTGTTTATTCTTAAGATTCAACAGTGCTCCTTGAGAGTTGTACTTCCCCCAATAATAAAACCTTATGAAGGTTTTAAAGTATGAAAATTTGAAATGTCAGAGACAAGGTGTGTATAATCTGGAAAGGGCAGGGGACTGGACATCTTCATTACAGAGTGAACAGAGAACAGAGTGAGCACAGCCCCTCAAACTGGGGGGCCAGAGAGAGTTTGGATGCCACAAGTCTAGTGGGGGCGGGAGACCGGTTTTGGTGGCTAATTTTATTACAGTTACCCCTTCATTTCCAAATTGGTCCCCTCAACCCCAGCAAGACCTCGCCCCAATCTATCCTAAGAATTAAAATACTAGAACTGAAGCGATGTGCACGGCTGAAGCACACTTCCTGGGTGAAGCACAGTTAATTGGTGGAGGTACTTACTAAAGAAAGGTGGTGAAAAGTTGCCCGATGGGGAAGTTGCAAGTTGAAATGAATCCCAGACAATTTGTCAACAATACTTAGGAGTCGCTCTAAGTGTAGGACACCTGGGACCTCTTCTTTCCTCTTGGCTTTGCCACTAGCTAATTATGTGACCTTGGTGAAGTCACTTACATTCTTTGGTGTCTCAGTTTCCTGATTTGCAGACTTAAAAAAATGTGCTAGTTCATTCTCAAACACCTTTTAAAAAATATTCACTATTTGAGAATTCTGTGATCTGGCTTCGCTGGTGGGTCGGGGGAGAATTGAGTATCTCCCATTTGATGGAATATATTCCAACGCTTTGCTTTCTCGGAGCCTTATTTGCTGTGATTTCACTCAACTCCTTTTTCTGCCTCTCAGATCCACGAGGGACCCACTTATGGGAATTCATCCGCGACATCCTCCTGAACCCAGATAGGAATCCAGGGTTAATCAAGTGGGAAGACAGGTCGGAGGGCATCTTCAGGTTCTTGAAATCGGAGGCTGTGGCTCAGCTCTGGGGTAAAAAGAAAAACAATAGTAGCATGACCTACGAAAAGCTCAGCCGAGCCATGAGGTGAGGAGTTTCTCGTCTCGGAACGTGATAAGGCCGCACGTCCAGTTAGTTTCCTGGCAGGCTTAGTGTGACCAGCCACCTGACGCAATGTCCTTTGTTACAGATACTACTACAAAAGAGAAATTCTGGAACGTGTGGATGGGCGAAGACTGGTATATAAATTTGGGAAGAATGCACGCGGATGGAGAGAAAATGAGAACTGACACTGGGAACACAAACCAAAACATTCCCCATATCCTAACAAGCCAAGCTCCTGGACGTAAATGTTTCAAAGACTACTTTTCTCTGATATTTATGTACCAGGAGGGGGAGAAAAAAAAATCTACTTCTAACGGGAGAAGGAACACTACAGTTGATAAAATTATTTTGTTACTTTGAAGTATATCCTATGTGGGGAACAAACGTACACAGTTTTCTGTGAACTATGATGCTGTATGTGGTTTCATGTTTTTGCCTCTATTGTGAAGTTGTTTCCATTGCAAGAAGAATGGGGATCGCGGCCTGTGCTTCTTGCTAAGAGAAAAGGAAAAGAAGTCAGAGGGCATTAAATATTTTTATATGCAAATGATTTAGGAAAAGATAACGTGTCCTTCGCTCGCACATAAGCATCCATGTGGCCTCACCGAGAGAGGTGGGCATGGTTGCTAGGATGAACCCCAGGGTCTCACATGGACGAGATGAACCAGAGGATGCTGGGAAGTTTAACCTGCCCCTTAGGAGCCACTGAGTGGAGAATGAAGACTACCAAAATCCAGGTGGACTGTAATCACTGCATAATCACATGACTTGCAATGTTTAAATCAGCGAGAAGAATAATGGTGGGGGCTTTTTACTCATTCAGGAGTGATTTCCCTGATGCCAAGGCCCTCTTCCTTCCTCCCTCTTGGATGATTGGTGAACAACTTCAATGACCACTTCTGCTAACTTCTAGTTATTTAAGAAAGGGGCCAGTCTTGATTATCTTTATCCCAATTCCTTAAAAATAAATGGGAAAAAAGAGGTGGTGATGAGTTTGCTCTTGTATTCCTATTGTCTATGGTTTCTCAGTTGGCACAATTGGCGTTTTTGGTTGAATAATTCTTTGTTGTGCATTCTTTGGCTGTCCTGTGCATTGCTGGATGTTTAGCAGTATCTATGACCTCTATCCACTAGAAGTATAGAAGTGGTGATAACCAAAAATGCCTTCGGGCATTTCCAAACGTGCCTTGTGGGGCAGGGGGTGAGGGGACAAAACTGACTTTGATTGAGAATCACTGATTTAGTCAGTCACGATGGAGATGGTGATTTATTCTCAGAACAACAAGATATATAAGATCCTTTAGTTCCTAGGAAGGAGCAAAAGCAAGACTTCAAAGTCAGCCTATTTTTAACTTTTAAAGTATTAGGGACCATGGATTTAAATATCTAGAGGGACTTCTTTTCAGAACCCCAGATGAGAGCCCAAGTCAGGTACATTGAATAAGGTAATGTAGCAAGAACTGAAAGAAGACATTTTCACTGGAATTATAAAACAGAGTAAAAATTATATTGTAGAAGAAAATGCTGAGAGAAAAAAGTGAGAGAGAGAGAGAGAGATGAGAGAGATGAGAGAGAGAGAAGAAAGTTAGTTCCAGGGAAAATATTCTTTGCAGATGTTAATTCTTATAGTCTTTCCTCTTTTGGATCATCTTTTTTCTATCTTGTATGAATCCATCCCAAAGTGAATGGTATGTAGTTTAGATGTGCAACTAGAGGAGTGTTATTTAAAAAAGACCTAGAAAAGAAAGGAAGGATGTAAGAGAAAAAACAGCAAACAGCTAAGAGCTATGGTAAGTAAGGAATTGGAGACTTCTTCAATGATGGGATTGTTTGGGGTACCTGGAGATTTAGCACTGGGTCCTGTAATCTGGGAGGACTGTGAGCCTGCAGGCATGTCGCAAATGGATTTGAACATCCACATCCTTTTTGCAACTTTTCTTTTTGGCTCCCTGTGTCCTTGGCTTTCTCCTCCCTACTGCCTCTCTTAAGCAATAGCATGGGGCTGAAGATATGTACCAATAAGAGGGAGTGGACTTCATCAACTAATGTGTCCCCTGCCACTGTGTCTTACCCAGCAGAGGCGAACAATTCTTAGTCAAAGTTATAAAGTGTTTGTCGTGTATTCAGAAGGCTAGAAGTAAGAATTAACACTGTGTCCTAATTATAATGACGACCATTATGAATGGTGACCTTGGCATACTAGGGTATTGAGATGAATGACCTTCTGAAGGTACAGCCAAGTCCATTTTTAGTTCTGCCTGGCTTGATCACCTCCACAAAGGTGTTACTTAGTGTTGTTAAGTAACAGTTACTGAGGAAACAGAGAGAAACAACAGTTGGCAGCCCAGATCTGAGACGTTCCTGCATAAACGACACACATTGCTTTCCAAGCCAGGCTAAGAACTATGAGGCCTCCCCGACATTTAACAGTACTTCACAGAATGGATTAAATATCTAGATATTTTAATTGGTGTAAATGCCTGAATGTGTACGTCTGAATCGTGTGAAGATCGTAGGGGTAGCTGCTAATCCTCCCTTTGCTATCCCTTCCTTGGCTTTGCCTGTTCTTCAGCTAAGATGGCTAGCCTTCTCTCTGAGTTTACACTTCCCTAAACCTCTAAGTTTCTCACATTCCTCCAAGTTCGTCCTTTCAGCATTCTCCCCATAAAAGGGCAACCGTTGCTAGGTAGCAGATGAGTCTGGGGAGCACCAACCGAAACAGTTCTAATGATAATTAGCAGCCTGTGTTATTTCTCAAAAGTGATGATTTCTTGGCACCCAGTCAGGCCGGAGTGTTAAGTTCTTAGCATGTATCTCTATTGTCTTGGCTTGAGTTTGATGCATTTTCTAAGCGCAGTTCGTGACTTGGAGAACTCCAGGTAATCAAGCCATGCCGACTTGGGGTGTGAACAGAGTACTTCCCACTACAGTGTTGGAAGGGAGAGTACAAATAAGAGCTAAAGGCTTGGGGTCTTATCTACAGTTTTCATGGGAACCTGAGGCAGGCAATGTATTATTAAGACTGTCAGACTCCGGTCATCCAAGGGGCCCAGGCTTTTGACTTGATGGAGCTTTAGTACAGCCCTATCTCCCAGGGCCCTACTCACAGCTTCTTGAATTTGCCTTCTGAGCCGTACAGAGGTTATGAGTTTTCCTTTGAACAAACTGGTTCTTTCTCCAAGTTTTTGCCTTTCTAGACTGTAAGCTCTTTGTGGGCAGGCACTATAGTTTATCAATATTTCTTCCCTGTACCTAGCATGAGATAAGTGCTCAATAAATATTTGCTGAATTAATAAATGAATATCTTCTGGAAGACGCCTCAGATTTGGATCCAGAATCGGGATGTGAATCATTTCTTCATGGGAATAAGACCACAACGGCTATAACTTCAAAGACATGTTATCTGTCAGATGAACATTTTGTTGTGAGAGTCCTTACTTTGCCTTCCTACCTGTGCTGGAATGAAACCATAATGGGCCATTTGCTCCCACAAGTCACGTGTTGGATGAGAATTCTGTTGCTTTATTAGGAACTGTGAGATGTATCTGGTGTAACAAACCAGAAATGAACCTTTGACATGTTTTGACCAATGAAGATTATGAATGTGTTTATATGATGTAAATTGTTATTTAAGTGTAAAGCAGTTCTAAGTTTTAGTATTTTGGGGTTGGTGTATATGTATATATTTTTTCTTTTTGAAAAATCTTTTGATAAGGTGAGCCATGTATGTTAGATTTCAGTTTTGCAAGTGTGTTGTTTTTAAGATACATAAAATATAAGAAAAGGTAAAATAGTAAGAGAGAAAGCAACCATATTATTCTTCTGTAGTTAAAAAAGAGACATTTGTTCAGTACTCACTGTGTGTGCTGTATGAAGCTATGTATGAGGAGCTTATCTGATTATATGGTGTATAATAGATACTTCATATAAACCTAATGGCTGAACATGGATGGTATTAAAGAAAGAACAGCATAGCGGTCACAGCATCAGAGCTGAATTAACCTCAGCGTTGGTTCTCAGGATTCCATTTCTGCAAAAAGAGATAGAACATTTAATAAAAACCCATTGAAAGTATGCCTTATGAACCACTGACACATATACACCTTCACAAGTTTAGCTAAATTGAGATTAATGTTTTCAGAGCTCTCTTTGTAATTCTTGCTTTTGTTCCCATCTGGTTTCTGGGTAGACAATTTTGGGGGGAACAACCCTATTGCCACTAATTTTTTAAAATAAGAAATCTTGCCCTTCAAACTATGTTAAATTCAAATTAAGTATTTCTCTTACGAAATAATTAGATTTTTCAAAATATATATTATTTTTTGTTTTATGGGTCCCAGAAAACACTAATAAAAACCACAGAGACCATCTTGTAATTAACTGTGTGTTTTGTGTTTCACCAAGTCATCCACAGCTGGGTTGAGAGGCAATACACTTAGTCTATAGCAGCAGAACATATGCAGTTCCTGCATTTAGTTACTCAGGGTGCACTCATTGAGCATCTGCTCTGTGCCAGGCACTGTCCTAGGCACTGAGTTATGGCAGAGAATGAGAGGCAAAACTCTGCTCTCATGAAATTTATGTTCTATTGAATGGAAAGAGAACACTCACAAATAAACAAAACAGAGCATGTCAGATGCGTGGTCAAGAAATGAAGAGCACAGAAGAGGAGCGTGTAGGGATGGACGGCACATTTAGGTGGGATAAGAAGGAAACATTCCAGTAAAGATCTGAAGGATGTAAGGGAAGGAGCCACGAGGATAAGTGGGGGAATGATTCCCTGTTGGAGAGACCAGCACCTGTAAAGGTCTTGAGGTGAGTGTGTTTCTAATGTGTCCAAGGAACAGCAAGAAAATCTATGTGCCAGAGTAGATGAAGCACTAGTATGAAATAATGTAAAAGAGGCACCAGCAGGCCAGATCTCATCGAACTTGGAGGCAATTAATGAAGGCTCTAGTTCTTCTTTTGATTGCAATGTTGGGGGTGGCGGGGTGGGGTAGGATGGGAGGCTGGCCCCAGAAGAGACATGCTCCAACTTCTGGTTTAAAAGAATCTCTCTGGCTGTTGTGTTGAGAATGAAGTGCAAGAAGGAATTGAATGCTGTGTACATTCTTACCCAAGGATGAACAAAGGGAGGTAGAAAAGATTGCCTTCACATGCAATTTTCCAACACAATACTTAAAAATATTTCAAGGCAGTCAGTGAACTCTAGTAGCTCATGATATATTTCCCCCAGGCCCAGAAAACCCCAGCCGTTCAGTCACTTAACTTCATAAATAATAATGAAAATATAATAGCTCACCATTTTTGGAAGATCCCCATGGTCCCAGGTACTGTGAAATGTTCTTTCCATACATTTGATCTTCATGGAAGCCTGTGATATGTAGAGATTATTCCTAATTTTCAAATGAGAGAAAATGAAGGTCAGAACAAGTTAAATGACTTCTTCAAGGCTGCACAGCTTGTAGTAAGTGGGAGAGGGGGCACTGAGTGTTCACCCAGCTCTCTTTTTCCCAAAGTTCATATACTTAACTTATTTGTCTGGATGCTAATACCGCACACACACATATACACACACACAGTGCCATGGTCGATACTGAGTCAAACAATGTGTTACAGAGTTATTTTCCATTAGGATTTCTCAGAGCTTTTATTGTGATGACGTGCATTGTGAATCTGTGAGAGGGAAAAAGTGTTCCTAATTTTCCAAGCCTATTTGATTATGGACCCTTTTCCTCAAAGATTTTATGAAACCAGTACCTTTCAGAATACACTTAGGAAAATGATGATCTTTAGAGATGACTTCTCTGATTTAGAAGAGGCAGTATTTTCATATTGGGCTAAATTAGTATGCTGATAATATTTGTGCACATCAAACTTGGCCAGAGCTGTATATATATTCCTTTTCTTTTTCCTCAGTGAAGAAAAAATTCCCTCACTGACCAGGGCATTATTATTTGCAATGATGTATTTCTCAGGAACCACCAAGAATTTGCAAAGTGACTCTTCTTTGGGAACTATGAACTCTCCTGAATTTTCACTCTTTAGAACTATCTGTCCAATTACTACAAGCACTAGCCACATGTAGCCATTTATGTTTAATGTAGTTAAAATGGTATAAGTAAAAGGTGTAATTTATTAATTGCACTATCCACATTCCAAGTGCTGAATAGCCACCTGTGGCTAGGGGTTACCGTACATGGACAATGCAGATATAGAACATTTCCATAACCAAAGAAATTTCTACTGGAAAGAATTACTGCAGAATCTAGCCTGGGAGGATGGGGTGAGGGTAGAAAGGGTAGTGAGCAAAACTAACCAACAGCAAAATAGGATCCAGTTAGCCTTAGAAATCAAAGGTGACCCTGAGTTGTAGAGAACAAAAATAAAGGTCCAAAGCAAATATCTGTGTTTGCTGAAATGGTGACAGTATCTACCAGTGCAAACAAGTTTGATGCTGTCAGTGGAGTCTTGGAGTGGGAGGATTTGATTATTCTTATCTTCAAAACCCACAAATATCTTACAGTCATTAACATGAATGTTTGTTCCAAGGATGTGGCTTTCAGGTTGAGAATACTGGCATGGGGCCGGTGGGGTGGGGGGGTGAGGTAAGGGGGTGGGGGCCTGGGGGGGCGGAGATCTCTGAAGTGGAAAGGAAGAGGAAAGATCCCCAAATAGGAAAGTTTGACATTGCCCACTCTCTGCTGTAAATGGTACTAATCCATTTTCTTCCTTTTTTTTTAAGACCACTTTCCTGGATAAGTATTCTACCCATAGGCTTTCTATTCCCTGTAAGCCAATTTTTTTCCATTAACTATTGTAATCTGGCTTTTGTTCACATCAAGTCACTGAAAATGCCTTATCAAAGGTCATCGTCAAGCTTATCGTGGCCTCAGGGACTTTGCTTTAGCTTTTCTCTCTCTTTCTTTCTCTCCCTCTCTCCTCTTCCTCCCTTCCTCCCTTCCCCTCTCCCTCCCTTCTTTCCTTTCTTCCTCACTTCAAGATATACTTTAATTGATGGAGTGGGGGAGAGAGAGAGAGAAACAGGGGTGTAAGAGAGAAACATCAATCGGTTATTTCCTATACACACCCCGACCAAGGATCAAACTCACAATCTAAGTATGTGCCCTGACCAGGGATCAAACCTGCAACTTTGGTGCATGGGATGATGCTACAAGCAATTGAGCCACCTGGCCAGGGTTGTTCCTTCTTTTTAAAATGCACGTGGGATCTTCGTGGGTTTGTGGGGCTGGCCCGAGTCATGCAGGTCTCCGTTTGAGATGTCACCCTTCCTGTTCTATTATCCTCACCTTATCTTTTTAGAACTTACACTATCTGAAATTATATGTTTAATTTATTAGTTCTTTTGTGGTATTTTACTTTTTCTGCCAAAAAGTAACCTCCAGGAGAGCAAGGGCCTTGTCTGCCATGTTCACCAACATATTCCTAGTGCAAGGAGGAGCCTAACATATGTACCCGACTCCATAAATATTTGTTGAATAAATGAAAGACCCTTTTCATTTTCAGATTTCCAGGACTTCCTTTTGACTTAATGATTTTTGACACTTGGAGACTTTGCCTGTCTACTTTTGGAAAAGATCAATTCCTTGCTTTCTGCAAATTTTCTTCTGCTTTTCCGAGTGCTCATTCTGAAGTTCTTCCTCTTCCCATCCTTATAACTTCATATGTTTCCCAAGATTAAGTAGCTCTCTTCTCTTCTCTCTTAACATGCTCTCCCTCAAAGCTTAGCCCCTTGAAAGCTCAGTGCGGAGACATCG